GTCCCAACTCCTCCCCTTGGACTTCTGCATTGCTTTCCCACCCCAAAGCTGCTCGGGAATGCAGCTCCTCCCATCTGGATTCACCATCAGGAGCCAAGGTGGCATTTTTGGCTCAGAAAAACCTTGGAAAAGCCTCATGCCAGGAATGTTCCGGGGTGGAAATGTGTCGCTGCAGGATGAGGCGCCAGTGGGAAGGACACGGGAACATTGTCCTGGGAACAGCTGCTGCTCTGACCCCTTTAGATACCTTGGAAAAACGCCCAGGGTGGATTTGGAGCTCCAGATTCCTTTGTTTCCAAGCAGGACCTGATTTCTTTCCCTGAAAAATCAGTATTTGGATGTGGAAAGGAGGGATTAGGGAGCTCAGGAAAAGCGGGACTTTTTTCAGATGAATGCAGGACTCGGGGTCAGGGATATTTCCGCTGGAAAAGTTGAGAATTGAGGGGGAAGGAGATCCCAAGGCCGTCTCCTCGTTCCTGGGGGTTTTGGTGATGCCCTCATTGTCCCTCTTGGAGTTGGGAATCATATTCCAGTGGCATTCCAGTGGCATCCCAGGGATATCCAGGAGCCATCCTGTTTCCATCCTGACTCCCCTCAGCCAGAAAAGTCCGATCCCACTGATTTTCCCTAAACCAAACGTGGATAACGCATCCCAGGGAAGTGAAATTCCCCCTCCCTTATCCTGCCACCCCCTCCAGCATTCCCACATCCCTGTGCTGTTCCCACCCTCCAGAAGAGCTGGCCAGGCAGAGCTGGCACATCTGTGTCCTGATCAGGATTTCTCCATGCTGGATGAATTATTGAGCTCCTTCTATCCTTTCAAAAAAAAAAAAAAAAATTTAAATTCCCTGAGCCTGGAAAACTGTTGGGATATCGGGATACCGGGACATCGGGATACGGTGATATTGGGATATTTGTTGCCACCTTCTCACTCAGCGTTTATGAGGAGTACGGATTTATTGAAATATATATTTATATTTATATATAGATCTTTTCCAGCCCCTTTCCCAGGGATTTTCCCCCTCCCCCAAACCCTTTCCAAACCCAGATCTGGGCTCAGTTTTTGTTGGGAATTCTCTGCCTGGCCGGGACGTATGGCAGCAACGTCTGCGTGCTCTTATCGGCCACGGTCTGGGTGCTGCTGTTCCTCGTGGCCCTGCGGATCGGGATCACGCCCGGGTTCCTTGGGAGCTGCTCCCGAGGCCCCTTCCTGGCAGGATCATCAGGACTGTCGGTGCCATCATCGGCATCGCCGTCATCGTCGCAGCACAGGGCGTGGTAGAGCACCTTGTCACTGAAGCGAACGCGCTCCCGCGTCCCCGCCGGACGCTGCGCCGGGATTTTGGGAACGGTGGTGCTCCCAAAACATTCCTCGCTGGAGGAATCCGGGGTCCCCCCGCCCCCGCGGGGGCCGTTGGCCACGGGGACCCCCCCGTTCATCAGCCGGGCCGGCGGCGGCCGCGGGGGCTCCGGGCAATCGCCGGGGTCCGAGGGCGTGGAGGCGTCCAGGAAGGAGCAGAATTCCCAGCTGTCCGAGAGGACGTCGGAGGCGGCGAAGTCCAGCGGACCCAGCTCAAGGCTGGCCCCGCCCCGGTCGCTGCTGGACGTGCTGCTGGCCGTGGCCGGAGTCCAAGCGTCCGGCTCCAGGTCCAGAGCGAAGTCCGACGTCAGGCGGTCGATCTGGGACACGACCTGTGGAGAGAGATGGACACGGGGATGGATGGATGGATGGATGGATGGATGGATGGATGGATGGATGATGGATGGATGATGGATGGATGATGGATGGTCCCAACTCCTCCCCTTGGACTTCTGTGTTGTTTTCCCACCCCAAAACTTCCAGGGAAAGTGGGATCTCTCCATCCCTCAAGCTTTGGCTTTGAAGCTTGTTGGGAATATCCCCGGGTAAGCCTGGAAATCAGGAAAACTCCTTTTTCCCTTTCCAGATCCCTTTTCCTTTTATTTTTTCTTCTTTTTAGGAGAAGAAAGAGCTAAACTTGAGAAAGAGAGTAAAAAAAAGGATTTTCTGATCCCTTCATTTTTGGGGCAATTCAAAATGGGGAAGAAGGCTTGGAGTTTTAGGGAATACCCCATTACCAAATGGTTCTGCTGGAATGGGATCCCCTCTGTTCCCAACGGGAATTTCACTGCTGGGACAGGGCCAGCAAGTCCCTGTCACATGAGGTCCCTTCCCAGCCTCCCTGAAGGGACTGGAATCGAGCAGATACAGCAGGAAGTGCATCCTAATCCCAATCCCAATCCCTGCTCCATTCCAGGATTGGTGCCACTCATAGCTGTCCTCATCCCAATCCTGTCCCCATCCCAATCCTGTCTCTATCCCAGTCCTGTCCCCATCCC